CGTAATGATCGAATCACCAAGTTCATGCTATATTTGAGGGAGGATTTCCGCTCCACAATCAAGCATATCACCCGATTCACGGCTCAATACGGGAGACAATACGGGAATAACGATTGGTATACACTCCAGCTTTCTTCATTGTCGTTGACAAGTCCAACTTTTTCGTTGTACACTTCACTACCTCCGAATTCCATCCATACGAGGACAAACATGAAGAGGATCTTCCACGAGCGTTTATACAACGCCTCTCCAGAGGTGACTGTGTCATACTTGACGAATTTATATCATCACGGTAAAGAATCTATACAACAGTTCCTGGAACGCGTTTGGAGGTCTGAAAGTAGGTGCCAAGTTTGTATACCGGAGAACCAGGTGGTGGACATGGCAATCAACAGCATGACGCACCAGCTACGAGAGAAGTTGACCCTCCAAGAATACCATGACTTTTGGCAGCTGACATCCAAAGTTGTGAAGGCCGAGCAGCTCGTGAAAGAAGCTCAAATAGCCTAAAATAAGAAATTCCAAAGTGGAAAGCATTGCGTCTATGCCCAAGAAGGAGTTGCCGAAGTCGAGGAGTAGGAGGAGACCTTCTTGGCCGAGATTTTCCAAGGAAAGCCATACATATGCCTTAAAAAAAAAAGAAAAATAAAGAAAAAAAAAACAATGCATGGAACAAATTTATATGTAATGATTAATTTAAAATTTACTTTTAGTATATACACTATTTTTAAATATAAATAAAACACCAATTTATTAATCTAATATTTACCTTTAGTATCTACAAATTAAATAATAAAAGATAAATGAACCAAAAGACTTTTCTATGTATATATTTTTTTATAGAAAATCAAAATTGGTATTTTATAGTCTGAATAACACAATCATATGTTCAGTTAATTTAAGCACAATCCAAATAACAACCAGAGCTATATTTATCTGAAGTGGATCTCGTAAATGTATGCGACATAGGTTCTCCAACATCCTAATCTAAGATTTTCTACATCCATGTCCATAGGTTTGTGTTTAGTCCGAGACTCTTTTTTATTTTATTTTTATTTTTTCTGTTTATCAATTTTATCCTTAAAAAATTGTCTGATCATATATATATATATTTTTTTATGTTACCCTAAAAATTAATTTAACTTTAAAAATTGTTATCGTAAAAAATCGCCACCAATGGTTAAATCGGAAAATTATGTCGGAATTTATTTGTTCGAAGGGTTCTACGGCCTCCTCAAGAAAAAATCCGGGCTATTTCACGATATCCGAATAACTAACGTAACAGGAAGGCAAAAAGACTAATAAAACAAGAAGGAACATGGAAATTAAACTAAAATTAATGAAAAGAAAAACTGTAAAAATTTGGAAAAATACATTGTTCTTGAAAAAAATTTAGAAAAGAAAGATTGCAAAGAAAATATGAAGAAGATGAATGATGATATGTTTGTTATGCATAAAAAATCACCACCAACGGTGTAATCGAAAAAGTATGTCAGAATTAATTTGTTCGAAGGGTTTTCCGGCCTCTTCAAGAAAGGACCCGGGCTATCCCACGATATCCAAATAATTAACATAATGGAAAGGAAAAAGACTAATAAAACAAGAACGAACATAAAAATTAAACTAAAATTAATGAAAAAAAAAGCTGTAAAAATTTGAAAAAATACAGTAACCTTAAAGAAAAAATTAAAAAAAGAAAGATTGCAAAGAAAATATGAAGAAAATAAATGATGATATGTCTGTTATGCGTGGTTTTTCTTTTTGAATGTTATTGGATAAGGTTTTATTCATTTTTTTTCTCCAATCATCTCAGTCTTGCTCAAATCCTTCTTGACCGATCATCCCATTCAAGATGGGCTTCCTCTTGTGTGAACTGGGCTCCTGAGCAATGAGTTAACTGGGATAGCAGGTCCACTCGCTGGGCTTTAGGTTGTGCCAATGTACAAATGTCTCAATAAAATTATTTAGGATATAAATTTTAATTTGTAGTCCGAATAATTTTGTTAGAGTAGGTATTATTTCAAATCAACTGCTTCGCACGGGTATTGTATCACGTCACCATCATCACCCATCAGATATTTCCCCTCAGGTCCCTTCGCCGTTATTTCAAAACCTCATCGTAGATTCAAATGATTCCTCTTGAACTTCTCTCCTCAATCGAGCAAAACCATCGTCCCCCTTTTCACTCCTATCCCCCAAAATCCCCCACCGTCGCTTCTCTTTCCTTCTTCCCATCGATGAAAAGCGATCACCCTGCCCCCAGGCCAAGCAACGATGACCTTGGTATTCATCCCCCGGTAGCGATTCGGCAGTTCCCGGCAGCGATTTGGCGGTTCTAGACACAGTTCAGCGGTTCTCGGCGCGGTTCGGCGATTTCCGGCACGGTTTGGCGGTTCATAGCGTGTGAACCACAGGGAGGACTCAAATGTCTTGAGCTAGACCGGGTGCCCAAACCAGTCACACGTCGGCAATGTTTGCGGAGGAGACGGCCCCAAACTTTCCCGGCGGTCAGTGTGTGCTTGGGTCGTTCGTGACGGACAATGAAGATGCACCATCCAAGGGCTTCGACCAGATCGTCGGAGGGGGTAAGCTATTGTTATCCCAAACTTGGTTCAAGCTTGATAGTTTTCTTTCTAGAATATTTCGTTACCCTGTGATGCTCCCGATTTCAAGTTATGGATGGATAGACTAGGTACTTATTTCGATGAGTGGTGGCATAACATGGGGATTAGGGATATGTTGTCTTTGCGTACTGATTCCCTTCCTCGTGATAATCTTATTGCGAATACGCTGATATGTTTTTGGAGTCCGAGTATTAATGCCTTCATATTTCCAGTTGGGATTTTGACTCCCACGGTTTTGGACGTAGTGGTCATCTTAGGTTTGCCTTAAAAAATGGTGGAACCTCTCTTGTCACCATCTTGTAGGTTAGATCACCTAGCTATTCTTGTAGCCCACGATAGCAATATCACTGTGAATCAATTTCTAGCCTCCAATATTCTTTCGGGCGATGTGGACCCATCCGAGAACAATGCCTTCTTTTTATATTGGTTCAACAAATACTTTGCATGTTGCGCTTTAAAGGGGTTGGGTTGGGAGGCTGAACCGATATTGAACGCCATTATATGTATAGTATGATGTTGGACTTAGCCTCGGAATTAATGATTTACTGGACAAGCTCCCCAGTTCGACTTCGCGTGAGCCTGTGGGGGCTGGCCCATTGTGGTTTCCAGAGCTATGGGCACGGCTGTATTTTTCTAACCTAGTCAGCCTGCGTCGCGACCTCACATTTGGTCATATTACGATTCTGGGCACTTAGCTTTGTATCCTCCCTTCAATGAAATATTCTCACGAGACTGAGCGTTCTCGAGGCGACTTCTGTCCGATGGCTGGTCATCCCGCCAGGCCGGATTGGCTTTTATTCCAAGTGTTGACAAACAGTCTACTACGCACACCCGTCTGTACTATTTGCTGGAACAAGTGCCTGACTGCCCGAGTCTTGCTCGGAGGCCTAACCGTGGGTTCTCGATAGAACCCGCTGCTTACTAAGATTTATCAGTCTTAGTATTGCGCTCGACAATTTGGGTTGATTCAGGGCATTTATCACCTCCGGCGAGCCACGCGGGCGTCTCCGGCATCGGAGGACTAGAACAGCGAAAATTTTTCACTTATGGGACTAGTGTGCGGCAGGCTTCACTTACGGACTAAAATGATAAGAAAATCCAATTACGAGACTAAAAAACAGTTTATACTATTTTTAATTTACATTTAAATTCATAATTAGTGGTAGTTATAATTATTTATACTAATTGACCATCATCAATACATTTTAATTAATTATTTTGTATTAATTACATAGTGTTAAATTAGTTATAAATAAAATTTATTATGATACAATACTTTAATATATTCTACAAAATATAGTATAAAAAAACTATAATATTAACATTATATTTAAGTAAAATTATATTAAGATATTTATAAAATTAATAAATTGTGTACGTATTATTATATGAAAATTAATTTGCTAATTTTTATATTATTTATTTATTTATATCAAATCAGTAGAATTCATATTAAAATATATTTTTTTATTTTTTAATAAAAAACATATATTAATCTTTCGTACCACGGTAACTCTCCTTCGTGTTGACGCCTTCGGACACAATATTTTTTTTTTACAATTTAGTTCGTTGGAATTCTGAAATATTAGATTTTCACCTAATATGGACATAAACATCTTTTTATCGTTATGTCATAAATTATAGGTATTATCGGAATGTATTCATTTTATAAGTCGATGTTTTATCCTCGATTCAACGTAAATCATCAAATTTTTTGATAATTATTATTTTATTTTTTTTGAAATGTAATTTATATAAATTTTATAAAATAATTGAATTTTCCTCCAATAAAATATTTATCCGAAAAACAAATGTATTTGGAATGATGTTGTTGTTAATAATTTAATTAAATTTTTAGTTATTATAATTTAATACAATATATAATAATAATAATAATAATAATAATAATAATAAATAATACTAATTATTATTATTATCTATATATTATGTATTTGAGGTGGGTGGTCTCATGTGATCAAATCTTTTTTATCATTTTTTTGAATTTTTAATATTAATAATTATGTTAATTGCTACAATTAATACGTTACCATTAACATCTTATAATTATCAGCATGGATCCAGTGCTGAAATAATAAATTCAGCACACATGCTGACAACTAAAACTTAATTATTTTTAATTATATTAATTACATAATCATATATATATATATCTATATTTGAACTCACTGTAGGACCACCCAATGAAAAGCTTGAATTTCTAGTATTTTTGAATTTTTTAAAAAAAATCTTATTGGTTAAAATATTTGATTGATTATTCTGTTTAATTTATAAGATTTTATTTTTTTAATTAAATATTTATCTCAATTACACAAATATTTTAATATTAATTATAAATAAAAAAAACTCTCTCCCAAACCCTAATTTAAAAAACTCTCTCTGAAACCCTAATTTAAAAAACTCTCTCTGAAACCTTAATTTGTTCTCACAACCGTCGTCCCTCCCAAAACTCTCTTTCTTTTCCGTCTTTTATCTTCAGATTTTGCCATCGGCCGCAGCTACACCGTACTCCAAAATCTCATCCTGCACTGCCCCCATTCAAAACACTGGTAATTTATTTACATTTTATCTCTTTATTCTTTTTTTAAAATTTATTTTTAATTATCTCCAACATATATTTGCAAATTCGCAGGCTCTCCATCGCCATCAATCCATATCTCGCTGCACACCACTCCACCCCTCACGGTTTTAAAGCTCTAGCTGTTGTTTGATGGAATTACGGGTAATTTTTTTTTTGTTTTTTAATCTTAATCTATTTTCACACATATAAAAAAATTGAGTTTATACGAATTTTTTTTTTGCTCTTCTCATTCTTTGTTTTTAAGATTTGTTTTTTTGTTATTCTATTTATTTCTTCTTTTTTTTTTTTAAATGTAGATCTACTTCCACGCATGTAAAAAAAATGAATTTATACAATATTTTTTTGTTCTTCTCATTTTTTGTTTTTCTTTATTTTTTTCTTTGAACCTTTCTCTGCAAATGTGTCAGCACTGTGAGGTCCAACCCAACCCTGTTGTGTTGTGTAGTGCCCCATTGTTCAATTGTGGATATACTGGAGAAAAGTATTTTTTTTTTAAATATAAAATTATAATTACAATGTAATGAAAATAGATGAGTATCAATTTTCTGTATATAGCTATTAGAAAAAAATTAATATGTAAATTATAATATTAACTTATATATTTTTTATATAATTTTATATGTTTATGTTATATAATTTGATTCTAATAATTATATTATCTATTTTTTTATAAATATTTTAATATAGATACAAAAGAGTAAGTAAATTAAATTATGTATTAATAAAACTATACATTATAAATATAAATAATGATAAATTGTTAAAGAAAATATAGATTTTTCTATAATTATTATTTTTTTTTTGAAAAGAACACTTTATTTTTTTTTAAAAATACAAGTTTCATATTGAAGATGCAAAGTTTTTTCTTTTTTTATAATAATTACTTATTAAAAAGTTATAATAATTAAATTTAATTTTAATTCATTTTAAAGTTGAGAAATTCTAATTCATTTTTATAATAATTTGATTATAATAATTATATTATCTGTTTTGTTATAAATATTTTAATATAGATACAAAAGAGTAAATAAATTAAATTATGTATTAATTAAACAATACATTATAAATATAAATAAAAATAATGATCAATTGTTAAAGAAGATATAGGTTTTTCTATAATCATTACTTTTCTGAAAAGTTGAACACTTTATTTTATTTTTAAAATACAAATCTCATATTGAAGATACAAAGTTTTTCTTTTTTTTTTTTTATAATAATTACTTATTAAAAAATTATAATAATTAATTTTAATTCTAATTCATTTTAAAGTTGAGAAACTCTAATTCATTTTTATAATAATTTGATTCTAATAATTATATTATCCATTTTGTTATAAATTATAGATACAAAAGAGTAAATAAATTAAATTATGTATTAATTAAACAATATATTATGAATATAAATAAAAATAATGATCAATTGTTAAAGAAGATATAGGTTTTTCTATAATTATTACTTTTTCTGAAAAATTGAACACTTTATTTTTATTTTTAAAATACAAATCTCATATTGAAGATACAAAGTTTTTCCTTTTTGTTTTTATAATAATTACTTACTGAAAAGTTATAATAATTATTTTTTATAATTTTTTAAATACAATGAGTTGCAGAGTTTTTCTTTGCATTCAATATTATTTAAACCTCTCATTTTAATTTTTCACTTTTTTTTTTTCCGTATTTTTGTCTTTATCTTCTCTACTTCTGCATTCTCTTATTTCTACTTAAAAAAAAACTGTAATTCTCACATATTTTTCTACATCTCACCATCATACAATTCTTACAGTAATTATTACACATTTTCTTCTTCTCTTATCTAAAATCATCCTCTACACTGTGTTCCTGCATAATTTCACCTTCCAAATGTTTACATTTATGATTATATTAGTGTTTGATTATTAGGCTATTTGGACAATAATCATTATCCTTAATTTTGTTCTTATGAAGTATTTCTTTGAATTCAATATTATTTAAACATCTTATTTTAATTTTTCACTTTCCTTTATATTTTTGTGCTTCTGTCTTCATCTTTTCTTCTTCTACATTCTCTTCTTTGTACTAAAAAAAACTCTAATTCTCACATACTTTTTTTTCATACTTGAATGGCACTACATCTCACCATGTCATACAGTTCTTACTTAACATCAGACACTTCTCTTTTTCTTTTATCTAAAATTATCTTGTACATAGGGTTCCTGCACATCAATTGTTAATATTTTTGAATATTTTTTTAGTTGGTTTACTTTATTTTATATTTTGACATTTTTATGTTTCATATTTTTATTTTCTCAGGTAGGACTTGACTCTCACGAAGAGGCGTGAACATATATAATTTCACTTTTCAAGGTTTACATTTATTATTATATTAGTGTACGATTATTAAACTATTTGGACAATAATCATAGTCCTTAATTTTGTTCATATGAAGTATTTATGATTACTTAATTTTGGCAGGTTGAAGTGACATTTGAGATTTGAAGAGTACTGTTAAGCCGGACAAAATTTTTGTACCGAAGATTTTTTGTTATTATTTTTTATTTTAATATTTTTAAGACTTTGCAATTATTTATATTTATACATTCTCTTGATCAGTGGATGAATCAATGCAATCGGCATTAATCATAAATGCACGCACGATGTTTAAAAATAGTTTTCTTTCCTTTCGTAAAATATATTTATGGTTTTACATTTGTTATTGGCATCATCTTCTGATGTTGGCAATATTTGTGTTTTTTAAAGTGGTGGGTATGTTATTATAAAATTAGTTAAGTTTTTTTAATGAATAATATGTCACTTACAAATATGAGATATATATATTTTTGGTACCCACTTATGCACAAAAATCTTTGTTGTTGAAAATTGTGATAAAATATTTGCGAATAATATATTTAAATATAAGTATAGAATTTAAGTACAAAAGACAAATATAAATAACTCTATATAATTCTATAAGGAGAATTTGTTTAAAAAATTAATTATTAGTTTATTTGTTAAATTATTACCATTTTTTTGAAAGTATAATTTACTAATATCAATTTATTTTGTTCAAGAACAAAATATATTTCATAAAATTAGCAGAGTGTTTTTAATGAAATCTATTCTTACAAATATGAGACTTTTTTTTTTATCCACTTATGCAAATAGTCTTTATTAAAAATTGTGATAGAATATTTGTAAATATAATATTTAAATGTAATTATAGAATTTAACTATTAAAGACGTATAACATAATATATTTCATAAAACTCTTTGTTTGATTATGAGTCTATTTGTTAAATTACTATCATTTTTTTCATAGTATTATTTAAATAAATTAAATTGTTATATAATATAATTTACAAAATTACGATCTTCATAATTATAACTCTTTTATTTTTTTATTTCTTGGCACTTTAAGATTTGATGGTAATTTATAAAAACGAATTTTATTTAAATTTTATGATTTATAAATTTTTGCCACTACGTGTGTACTATTTTGTATATCTTATTCTTCTTTTTTTTTACTTATATTTGTATATAATTATGTTACAATATATCCGACGTAATTTCACCCCGTGCATAGCCCGGGTTTCACACTAGTTTAATAATATAAATTAACATAGTTTATTTTTACACATTCAGCATATGTGCTGAAATTATTATTTTAGCATTTGATCTCCTACCTATAATTATAGATCATATAATTGTAGTATGATATAATTAATGCAGTCATAATTAACATATTTATTAAAATTTAAAATTTACAATACTTATTATGAATATTATATATTTGTCATATCACTCTATTTTTTTTTAAATTTTTTTAATAAAATTAATAAATATTCTTTAAAATAAAAATTTTGATATAATTATTAAATCCATAGTATAATATTTACATAATACTTTTTTTATTCATTTTAAACTTAAAATAATTTTTTTAATTAAAAATCTATTTAATTTACATTAATATATATACACTCTATTATACATATATATGTTAGTGTATAAATTATATTTGCAAAATTATTTGAATAAAATTTTAATTATTACAATTAAATAATAAAATTTATCTTAAATATAAATAAATTTTTAATCATCATGAATGAAATAAATTTTAAAATTTTTGACAGGAGGTTACTGAATATTAAAGATATAACGTCGATATTTATGACGAATTTGATGACAACCCTCATTTCAATGCCTATAAAAAAGGCTTTATGGGCATCTATTTATACACACCACGATCACTTTCTTTTCCCTTATATTCCTTGATTCTTTTTTTCATCTTTTCCGACATTATTTTCAGCGAGTCTCCGGTTGATATTCCAACAACTTTCATTTCTTCTTGTAGAGATATTTTAGATATTCGGTTTTAAATTTAGTAGACTTATATCTAGATTTGATCTTATTCATAGATTAAATTACTTAAATTTGAGTCTATCGAGTCTATTTTATATTGTCTATATATAGGCTCCTTATTTTTATGATCAATAAGACAATCTCATTATTTTCCCCCAAAATTTTTAACATGGTATCAGAGCCTATTTTTCTCATGCCATAGATATAGCCTACAAACCCATGTTTCTCCGGGTACATTCAACCTGGATTGTACTCGGAGGTCTTGTGATTTTGAGATCATGCCTTTGCAAGTTGTCTTTTTGCAAATCTGTCTCGGTCATCTGTCCGCTGCTTGTCTGTTGCCTGTGTGCAATCTGAACTCTTTGCTGCTTGTCTATCGCCTGCAAGCGATCTAAAACGATCTGCCATATGTCCGTTGTATGTTTGTTGCTGCGTGCGATCTGTCATCTGTCGTTGCATGTATATTACTGCGTACGATCTACCATCTGTTGTTGCCTGCATGCGATCTGCCATCTTTCGTTACTTATTTGTTGCTGAAATCTGTCTATGATATGTCATTTGTCCGTTGTTTGTCTGTTGCCTGCGTGCGATTTGATATGTCCGATGTTTGCAATTCATCTCGTTTTCGGCTCCGGTGGAGCGTCATCTCGTTTTTCGGCTCCGGTAGAGTCATCTCGTTTTCGCCTCCGGTGGAGCGTCATCTCATTTTCGGCTCCGGTGGAGCGTCATCTCGTTTTTTAGCTCCGGTGGAGTTATCGCATTTTCGGCTCCAGTGGAGTCGTATCGTTTTCGGCTCCGGTAGAGTCTTGTCATTTACGGCTCCGGTGGGATCATGTCGTTTTAGGCTCTGGTTGAGTCATGTCATTTTTTGCTCCGGTGGAGTCATGTCGTTTTAGGCTCCGGTGGAGTCATCTCGTTTTCAGTCATCTCGTTTTTGCCTTCGGTGGAGTTATGTGGTTTTCAACTCCGGTGGAGTCATGTGGTTTTTTTGCTCCAGTGGAGTCATGTCGTTTTCAGCTCTGGTGGAGTAATCTTGTCTTCGGCTCCAGTGGAGTCATGTCGTTTTAGGCTCCGGTGGAGTCATCTTGTTTTCGGCTCCAGTGGAGTGATGTCATTTTCGGCTCTAGTGGAGTCATGTCGTTTTTTGCTTCGGTGAAGTCATCTTGTTTTTGGCCATCTCGTTTTCGGCTTCGGTGGAGTCATGTGGTTTTCGGCTCCAGTGGAGAGTCATCTCGTGTTCGGCTTCGGTGGAGTCATGTCGTTTTCGGTTCCGGTGGAGCGTCATCTCGTTTTCGGCTTTGGTGGAGAGTCATCTCGTTTTTTGGTCTGGTGGGTGGAGAGTCAACTACTAATTTTATTTATGTTTTCTTTTTTATGTTTATATTCAAATTTCTTATCAAACTCAAGTTGGTTTTTGTTATACCACTTGAGTTTGAGGGGGATGTTGAGATATTTTAGATATTCAGTTTTAGATAATATTTTGGGGGATTGGATTTTCAGTCCACTATTCATCCCATTTCCCCCACCCTCAAAAACATGAAATTAAACACTTATTTTTCATTTTTTATATTATACTAAAAATCAATTTTACATTCAAAACATCACATCTACACCTATTTATATCACATCATACAACTATTCAAATTCATAATTTTTACTATTCAAATCCCAACTCAAAATCCAAACCCCCAAACAAACACAATTTATATCTAGATTTGATCTTATGCATAGATTAGATTACTTAAATTTGAGTCTATCGAGTCAGTTTTGTATTGCCTATATATAGGCTCCTTATTTTGATGATCAATAAGGCAATCTCATTATTTTTTATCCAAAATTTCTAACACTTCTAATACGGATTTGTTGTTCTTCTTTTAGTTTGTCTAAGTTCTGCAATATTAGAATGTCATATAATTCGAAGATGATAAGTTACTATACCTTTAGGATCATTGTGCCACAAATTGGAGATATTAGGGAACATATTTGTTATGTACATTTGGTGGTCTTGGATTAATATTAAGATGTTGCCAATTTTTTTATTAATAATAATTGTATATTTTAAAATTCCATTTTATGTAAAATGTACATATTCTTTTATTTTTATTTTTAATATTTTTTTATCGATTATGGTATTTATCATATTCTCATTAATAGATTTGTTTGATTTTGTGAATGGCGATTGAAAAATAAGTGTCGGGAGAACCAAGCTATTATATCTAACAATTATTCATATATGTATAGTTCAACTCCAAATACCACACTCAAAACAAATGAAAAAACACTTAAATTGTAAAAATAAATTAGTACATTTCAATATACACTCTAATTTTCACATCCCAAATGCTTTTAACATCATTTTTTAGGGTGAGGACTTCCCGTGAAGTTATCCATTCTAAAACTACTCTTTCCAAGCATACTTGATTTCGAAGTTCTCATAAAATTCGGTGTGTTTAACTACTATGGATTGTATATTTTTATCACCAAATTAAAACCCCAGTTAGGTTAAAGTAGAGCTAGAATGACATAAAGTTCTACAAACATGTTTCAGAAATGTGTAAATATACACATATATATATATATATTAATGTTCACCTAATTTAATTATTACTCTTATCATTATATGTCTGTAAATGAACTCAGGGGCGGATCCTTCTTTTGTGGAACGATGGTATATGCCACCAGTGATTTTATTCATCAAAAGAAATTTTTTATGATTTAATAAATGTGCTATCACTAAAAAATTATAGTGCCCCCATTTAAAATTTAAAATTGCATTATTATTTTTAAAAAATTAGGTGGATTATTTAAAATTTAAAATATCAAACACCCAAATAATTAAAATTCAATCCAATTAAAATAATTAATTTATATTCTAAAACATAAATATACAAAATAATATTACATTATAATTATTTTTTAATACATCGAGTCTTATAATTTATTTTATTTTTAAGTTTATATATTGTGCAACCAATAAATTTTTTTTTCTAGCTCCGCCACTGAATAAACCACCAGTGGTTGTGATTAGCAAGTTGTTTCATATCAGATTTATCATCTACATGATTGATTAGTAATTAATCAGTCTTAAAGTTAAGCAAATTCACTCGAAACGTGTCCAGGTATGAATCATAAACTTAACTTCATCCACTTTAATTATTACTTAAGAATCTGTTTAGTTGGCCTTTTTCTTTTCAGTATCAGATTAAACACAATTTGGTCATG